CAAAGAATGAATTCATGTACGTGTATATATCATTGTATGCATTTATAAGGGGGTTTGATCATTATAGACCAATTGTTGTAGTGGACGAAAGTCATCTAAAATCCTATTACACCGGGACATTCGTTTCTGCAAGTACGTTGGATGGTGCAGGTGAGTACCTCAATAATAATACAATTTGTTAATATTTAAAGCATTGGAAAACATGTATTTAAAAACAATTATATTCAATTGTATTAAACAGGTCATATATTGCCACTAGCATACGGTGTTATTGATTCAGAGAACGATGCTGCTTGGACGTGGTTCTTTGAGCAATTCAAGATAGCATACGGTGTAAGGGAAAACATGTGCATTTTTTCGGATAGAAATGAGAGCATCATTAAATCTGTATCGAGAGTGTATCCGGATGTACCGCATTGTGCTTGCATATGACATCTATGGAATAACTTATACAAGAAATTCAAAAGGAGCCATGCCAAGTTGAGTGAGATATACTTCTCGATGGCAAAAGCATACACACAAACTGAATTTGATAGTCTGATGGAGAAGGTTGAGAAGGTAGATATTAGGGTGAAAGAATACTTAGAGTTAGCTGGTTACGAAAAGTGGGCTAGGTTGTATGCACCTGTTAACATGGGATGGACAATGACGTCAAATATCGCTGAGTCAATCAATGCAACACTAGTTTCAGCAAGGGAATTGCCAATATATGACTTCCTCGAAGAAGTTAGGAAGATGTTTGGTCGTTGGAATTGTAGTAACCGTAAAGAAGCTACTCAGACATACAAGACGCTTGGGAAAAAATACCAGGAAATGCTGGAGTTGAATGAGACCATGTCTACCCATATGACTGTATGTTAATTTTTTATGGCATTGTTGTATACAACTGAATACAATTTTTTTTAGGCAGAACTACCCGTTATTTTTTATGAATATTTGCTTGAACTAGTAAATAATATAGATGAATACAGGTAAATACATATGATTATTAAGACTGTATGCACGTGATAATGATTACAATGGAATTCAGGTGATTGATACAGTTTAAATTGATTGGAAATACCTGAATACAGTTGCTCAAAAAAGGTTGAATACAAATGCATACAAATGCAGACTGTAGATCAATACACAGTAATACAGTTGACTACAGTTGCTGGAATCAACTGAATTTAACTGAAATTGGATGAAGTTTCAATTTTCGAAGTTGATAGTAACCATTTAACTCAGTAGTATATATTTGTTAATTCATGTAAATGTGTTCAAAACTTATATTTCTGTTTTTAAATGTAGGTGGTACCCTCAACTGAATACTTACATACTGTTAACGATGGTGGGAGGAATTACACAGTCTGCCTGCTCGAGAGAAAATGTGTTTGTGGGAGATTCCAAATTGATGAATTGTCATGCCCACATGCCTGGGCTGTATTGAAGAGCAAGTTTTTAATGCCTGAAGAATATTGCTCTAGCTATTACAAGCCAAGTACAATTGTAATGACATACGATGTGCCAGTGTACCCGCTACCGGACAAAAATGACTGGAATATACCAGAGCATGTTGCAGAGGAGGTTGTACTACCACCCAAATGGAAAAGACCTCCTGGAAGGCCAAAGAAGAAGCGCGACAAAAATTTAAGTGAATTGTTGTTGCCGAAAAATCAACATTCATGTAGCATATGTGGGCAGGGAGGACATAACAAGCGAACTTGTAGGAATGCTCCACGTAATAAATAGTTGTATTCTGACATGTATTGGTGATTCGACAATTTCTCAACACTTATTATGACATTATCAGCTATAATAAATTCTTTTTTCGAAGTAATATATTTTGGAATGACTTTCGTTAATATTTTCTGAATTTATTTAGTTGAAGTATTTTTATATATATAAATATATATGAAGTGGCTGTGAGAGTATCTTAGTATAGTTGAATACAACTATATCAATTCCTTAATACAGGTGAATACAACATGTTGAATATAGTTGAATATAGGTTAATAATACAGTTTAATTCAATTGACTTTGGAGGAATACACTGTAATACAGTTGAATACAGATCTGGACAGCTGGTTGAAACAGTTGAATTTAACTGACATTGGATGAATATAGGTAATTCAATTGTTCAATACATTTGAATACAACATGTTCAATAATGTTGACTATAGGTTAATAATACAGTTCAATTAAATTGACTATAGCTGAATACATATGAAATCAGAGAAAAATACAGCTGAATACAGCTGAATAATACAACTAAATACAAGTTAATAAATATAACTTGTATTGTTTCAAGTCAATTCAAAGTTATATCTGAATGGATGCAGCTGAATATACTTGCATACCAACTGTAGACAACTGATAAATACACTTTAATACAACTGAATTGAACTGAATAATATAGATTAATACAATCAGCTAAACAGAATAATACAACTAAATACAACTACTTAATACTGAAAGATAAAGCTGATCTTATGCAGCTGAATACAATTCAAAAATTGGCATTAACAAAAATCATTCAGCATACATAAAGTTTCAGAAATTGTAACTAACATGTGCGTTAACTAAAACCTGTTCAAGCAAACTTAACCAAATTTCAGCATGTAAGTAAATAGCATCTGCGACCAAAACCACTACAATCAGTATCATTGTTCAAGCTAAACTAAAAAAAAACTAAAGCTATTCTAAAACTATCTGCTTCTTTGCCTCCGACTCAGAGATTTGCCTTTCAATCTTTGAAGGTGCTTCACTCTCGCTTATTG